AGCACGTTGACCGGCCCCTGAAGATGTTGGGGTCCGTCGCCCTTCGGGTATCCAATGTTGAGGACCGTCGGGGAGAAGTGGAGGCTGAACCTTAGGAGGATGTTTCTCAGGACCTTGAACAGCGAGTCCAGGCTCTTGCACTCCACGTATTGGTGCGCCACCGTCTCCACTTTACCGCAGAACCGACTCTCCGGGGACGTGTCGGTGAAACGCGCCAGGGAGGCGTTGGTGATGACGGTGCCGTGGGCGATGCTCCAGCTGAGGTCGCCGATGCGGTTGTACGTCGGTCTGCAGTAGAGTTGCCTCCAGCGAGGCCTCTCCGGAGAGACGCAGGGCTAGGGCTTTCCTCCAGGCATGGTCCTTGTGGCTCCTCCTCAGGGTGTCCTGTTGGTGGAACCGGACCATGTAGGAGTAGAGCACCTTCCTCTTTACATTTGGGAAGGCCACCTCCGGCAGGTCTTCCAGACGGTACAGTTTGTGATCCGCCTTCGTTTGTCGGCATTGGCGATGCAGTGGCACGACTGAGAGCTCCGGTGGAGGGGGACCGAGAGGGGCCTCGTCATCTCCAACGCCGATGGGGGGCGTTCTCCCCGCTGCCGCTGAGAAGGCCCTCTTGGCTTCGGCCAGGATCCGGGCAGCCACCCGGAGCGACTGCAGCCCCCCTGTCTTTGCGGCCATGTCTGCTGGTCCGAGCCACCGGCCTCGTGTTTCAGGCTCCACCAGATCTCCCACCCTCTCGCTCTCTCTCTCGCGCTCTCCCTCTCGCTCTCTTTTTCTTTACGATCAGAGGAAACAAGAAGATGCTCGGTGTAGTCGGCACTTTGCTTCGTTCATCATTTCGTTTTTTTATGCTTTGCTTTATGTACCTCCCCCCCCCCTTTTTAAATGAAAGATTTCACAATAGATTTCATGCTCTGCTCTCTTTACCAATTACCTCTCTCTGTACCCCCTCTCTCTACCCCCCCCCCCCCACCCCCCCCTTCTCTAGACCCCCTCTCTCCCTACACCATGTCTACGTTCCCCCTATGTTTTCTATGTAATATTTGTAATATTATTATTTTTAAAAACTACGACAAGTGCTGCATCTGCACCCATCCCTTCTCGCAGTCCTCCCCCTCGCTCTCCATCTCGCTCTCTCCATCTCTCCCTCTCGCTCTCCGTCTCGCTCTCTCCATCTCTCCCTCTCGCTCTCTCCCTCTCGCTCTCCGTCTCGCTCTCCGTCTCGCTCTCTCCATCTCTCGCTCTCCGTCTCGCTCTCTCCCTCTCGCTCTCCCTCTTGCTCTCCGTCTCGCTCTCTCCATCTCTCGCTCTCCATCTCGCTCTCTCCATCTCTCCATCTCTCGCTCTCTCCATCTCTCGCTCTCCGTCTCGCTCTCTCCATCTCTCCCTCTCGCTCTCCGTCTCGCTCTCTCCATCTCTCGCTTTCCGTCTCGCTCTCTCCATCTCTCGCTCTCCCTCTCACTCTCTCCCTCTCGCTCTCCGTCTCGCTCTCTCCATCTCTCCCTCCCGCTCTCCGTCTCGCTCTCTCCATCTCTCGCTCTCCCTCTCACTCTCTCCCTCTCGCTCTCCCTCTCGCTCTCCGTCTCGCTCTCTCCATCTCTCGCTCTCCCTCTCGCTCTCTCCAACTCTCGCTCTCCGTCTCTTTGTTTACGATCAGAGGAAACAAGAAGATGCTCGGTGTAGTCGGCACTTTGCTCCGTTCATAATTTATTTTTTTTGTTTTTTTTTATGCTTTGCTTTATGCAACCCCCCCACCGCCCCCTTTTAAATGAAAGACCCAACACAATATTTGTTTTCTTTTTTTCTGCTCTCCTTACCCCTTCCCTCTCTCTCTACCCCCCTCTCTGCCCTTCCTCTCTCTCTACCCCCCTCTCTGCCCTTCCTCTCTCTCTACCCCCCTCTCTGCCCTTCCTCTCTCTCTACCCCCCTCTCTGCCCTTCCTCTCTCTCTACCCCCCTCTCTGCCCTTCCTCTCTCTCTACCCCCCTCTCTGCCCTTCCCTCTCTCTCTACCCCCCTCTCTGCCCCCCTCTCTCTCTGCCCCCCTCTCTGCCCCCCTCTCTCTCTCTGCCCCCTCTCTTCCTACTCCATTTGGCTCTCTCTCGCTCTCTCTTTTTTGTCTTTATAACTACGACAAGTGCTGCATCTGCACGCAGCCCTTCCCACAGTCAAACGGCCTCTGACGGGTAGCTTAGATCTGCATGCAGAGCTCTCCGTCATCTGCCACCGAGCACATGGCCTCCTCCAGCGCCCACTGCTCCTTGAAGGCCGGCACGGCGTGGGTCAGCCGCGCATGGCGGAACTCCGGCCACACCCTGGCTCCGACCAGAGCGCGGAAGATGCCCAGGCTGCTGGCCGGACGTTGCCCCTCCAGGGCCACCGTCCTTGCCCTGTAAATGGCGAGCTTGGCGTAGCCGAAGAGCACGTTGACCAGTCCTGAAGATGTTGGGGTCCGTCGCCCTTCCTCTCGCTCTCCATCTCGCTCTCTCCATCTCTCTCTCACGCTCTCCGTCTCGCTCTCTCCATCTCTCCCTCTCTCGCTCTCTCCATCTCTCACTCTCTCGCTCTCTCCATCTCTCGCTCTCTCCATCTCTCTCTCTCTCGTTCTCCATCTCTCACTCTCTCGCTCTCTCCATCTCTCGCTCTCCGTCTCGCTCTCTCCATCTCTCACTCTCTCGCTCTCTCCATCTCTCGCTCTCTCCATCTCTCCCTCTCCGTCTCATTCTCTCTCGCTCTCCATCTCTCGCTCTCTCTATCTCTCTCGCTCTCCGTCTCGCTCTCTCCATCTCTCGCTCTCTCCATCTCTCTCTCTCTCGTTCTCCATCTCTTACTCTCTCGCTCTCTCCATCTCTCGCTCTCCGTCTCGCTCTCTCCATCTCTCCCTCTCTCGCTCTCTCCATCTCTCCCCCTCTCTCTCCGTCTCGTTCTCTCTCGATCTCCCTCTCTCGCTCGCTCGCTCCGAGCACGCGAGGCGTCGCTCTGCGCCCGAGCGAAGTCCCGGCAAGACAGCCCCCCTGAGTCCCCCAGCCCCCACGTCTCCCATTCCTAAAGGCCACAGAGCACGGGGCTGTGGCACCGTGCTCCGGGGTGAGATCGACCAAGGCTGATCCCGGCCGATTGGGGTTCAAGGCAGATGTCACAGGAGGGCTTGGGGGTGGGGGGTGGTGCTGGAGGTGGGGGAGGAGTGCGGGATGATTAGCACGGATGGCTAAGTACAACGCGAAAGACGTTCAACATCGTAACAAACATAACGGGCGGGGGTTGTTGGGAATCGTTCCACATTTACACGTCACGAGCTGCTTAGTGTCCGGTCGCCACAATAGTATTGTGATTTCAGTTAATCGCCGTGAGGGTGATGTTGATGAGGACGCGTTTGGCGGTCGCCGCGGCGGCGGTGGTGGTGGTGCTGATAACGACGACGGTCTTTTGCGGCTGATTTACGTGGTGATGGCAACGTTTTCACTTGATTTTATTTAACCAGGTGAGAAGTCAAGAGATCAGGATGAGTCTCATTTGGGCAAGAGTATCCTGTGTGGGCATGGCTGCCTATCGGGGATGATTATTGCCATCTATAATCACGAACGAGTAATTCGGGATGTCATTTTCAAATGTCACCAACGTTTGGACCTTCCTTTTTCTTCATCCCTAAGGTTGATGCAGATGCAGAGCAACGACTACAACGTCGCTTTCAGCTGGCCAAGCACAGACATCCGCATCAGGAGCAGCCGAGTGTATCGCTGCCGTGTCTCCGTCTCAGTATTTATGGATCGGGCATTGCTTCGTTATACGTTGTACAGCCTGTTCTGGATGATCACGTGTTCACACTCGTGTAAAGTTTAAATTTATTTACTTCATATTTGTGCATCAGCTATCCGCAGCGGCCGCTGCCGTGGTGTGTGCAGTCGGATGCGAAGTCGATCTTGACGCCAGCGTTGCACAAATGGCCTCGCTCTCACGAATGCCGTCAGGGGATCTTTGACGTCCGCATGAGAATGAAACATACAACGCTTGGGCATTGTCTTGGTTATTATTACAGCCAGGGTCGGAACTACGGGGTAGTGCTATGCGGCACGTAGAGGGCCCAGCCGGCCATCAGGGGGGGGATCAACAGATAAACAATTAACATTCATAATATAGGTTGTTTGGGTTAGATCGCATTAATATAGATGTGTCGTTAAACCCGCCACCACCTATTAAAGGAACGAAACAGGTGGATTTCTCCACTTATCTGGCTGTCCACCTGATGATGCTGGTTGTAATTACTCGCGAAACGTCGTATTCAGATTGTAAATGTTGTGGATTTGCTCTGCAACACACCGGTGTGATGTACGAGTGACGAATTGGCACGTTCTGTTTACGTGACAAACCTTACCAGTTGACTGTGTCGGGGGGTGGCGGGTTTAACTACACATTTATATTTATGCGATCTAACCCAAAAAAAAAACTATATTACGGATGATATCGGTCGCGAAAGCATACTACGTGTTAAATTAGCAACATTTTAAGAAAATGTCTCAACAAAAAAATGTGTTCATTAAAAAGTTACCTGCGGTCTAGCATGCGACCCAGCTCCGACTAACGCATCTGTCTATCCCTCCCCCCGCCCCCCCATTGAAATAGGGCGTTGCACCCCCCGATGACACCCGTGGTAATAACCACGACGGCTGCTGGATTCGAACCGCGAACCTCTGCAACAAGCGGCCAACACTCGAAGCCACGTTGACATCAATGGCGGTGTTGGTAGGCCCCTCCCCCGGCCACCCCGTGTAGCCTTAACAGACCGTTGGGGCGAGTGCTGTTAGCGAGCACCTATGAAGGCCGGAACGAAACGCGAGGGAGTAGGTGGCTAGCAACCACGCCGGGCCGCCTTTGTCTCCCTAGTGGCGATGTTTTAACGCACCGCAACAGGTACTCATTTGAGGCTCAGTCGACACACACACGCGCGCGCGCAGGCACAGCTGGACACGCGTGCACGTATGGCAAGGGAGAGTGCACCACAGGCTCATAGTAAAGGTACTGTATTCTTCCCCCGTCACGTGTCACACGAAGCCCGCCGTCTCACGCGAACAATTGCACACGAGCAGCGTGGGGGGGAGGCGACAGCTAAAATGACATCGACACACGCACACACACACGGCTAGGCAGCCACACGTGGACTCTTCATATGCGAGGCTATATTTATATCATTATATCTGTACGACGACCTTAACGCACAAGGCATGCCCCAAAGAATGCATAGGTGACCTGTGATTGACAAGTGTATATACGTGTAGGTAATAGCCTGTTTTCGTGTAATTGGTTACATTTGCTGTTTCCATTTCGATTAAAGCGCACTGAAGAGACGCGTCTGTCCTGTAGGTTGTGTACGTTTGTGCTAACATTCGTTATTTCGCATGGTCTCTAGCAAATACGCATATGCGATGCATGTGTCTTTGTCTGTGGGTGGCTGATAGTCACCTCAGTCAGTCAACCAGTAACACACGTGTCCGTCCCGTGACCGCCTGCCAGCGAGCATTCGACACTTCACGTGGTCTCGACGTGCACCGTGCCTGGCACAAGCGCTGTGATGAAGTCAATGCCATTGTAGTTGTGCAAGGGGTGATAGCTCTTGTTGCTGGAGTGTTAATAAATAAAGCAGAGTAAAACATAAATTAATGTACGCGTTATAAATATTATACTGCCCTGATATTGTTGAAAAATGCTTAGTGCTGACTGCAATAAACTTACGATAGTTGTCTGATAATGTATCTTTGGGGTAATCAGTGTTGGCTTTCAACAAATTAGTACTTATTTTATCGTCCCCATTGGGATGATGGACTGAATCATTTCCCGAACCAAGATATGAACTCTCCGCCTTCTAAATGTGAGCTGCACTCTCAGTGAAATGGTTTAAATACATCTCTATATATACCCACGCCCGATGTGTCAGTAAAGCATCTCAAGAAGCGGTCACATCTAGACGCCACCTAAATCCGGCGTTTAGATATTCAATCATGGGAATATTGAGCGGCATTCGGCCAACTTTCGGACGTTTATAAACGTCGTCTCCATCTATGTCTCATCACATGCTTCAATGTGAACCAGTATCCTAGCATGGCAAAACAAATTATAAATCGTGGAGTCAAGTAGCCAGGGTTTAATTTCTCCCTGACCATGAGCCACAGTGACAGTCAGAGCTAGATGTATACCGGATGCGGTGTGCCAGGTGCGGATACATTTCCTGGCTTGCAGACCCGGACAGACCCGGCTAATATCGAGCAAGCCCCACTGGTATGCGAGCATCCATTGTGCTGCCCGCAGTGTGATTTTTTTCAAGAATGTTCGCCCCGCAAATGCCATCGTTCAGAGGGGAAGTAACTGGCAGTGAGTGACCAATGTGGGTCCGCTCGGTGGATGGAGGGCCCACCCGGTCGAGGGAAACCGTGCCATGCGCCTGACAAAATTGTTACGCGCGGTCCGAGAGCGTCCGCCGTCTGGCATTGTCACGCGGGGAGGACAACTTCTGCCGCACCGCAAAATGTTCGTGACGAGTGGGGCACGGGCACCGTGAACGCAAATCTAAAGTTTTGTATCGGTTAAATAATGTGGGGGGGGGGGGGGTGGTGGTGGGGGGGGGGGAGGAGTTGGTGTGGTGGAAATCAATTGCAGTCGGCATTAGTTTTGGAGTACACCGTGTCCGTAAGAACGATGTATGTCCGCGCGTGTGTATATATATATCGGTAGGTCGACTCACCCTCAAATGAGTACCTAGTGCGGTGTATCAACATCGCCACTAAGCAGACAAAGGCGGCCCGGCGTGGTGTCGGCCAGCCACCCCCCTCGCGTGCCCTGGCGGCCTTCATCAGTGCTACTCGCAAACGGCACGAGGCCCCGGGAGTCTGGTAAGGCTCTACGGAGCTCCGCCGTCTTAGCGTAGTCGGCAGTGCCACGGTATGATCGTTGACTTTACGGTTCGCGCCACCGTCGACTAATGTCGAGGTGACTAATGCCCATGGGCCCTCTCCGTAGCGCGCGAGCCGACGCAAAAATAAATAATAAAACAAGTTGAGCCATGCCAGACAGAGCCATGTCGAGAACCACAACGCACCTGCCGTGCGTTGTGGTTCTCGACTAATGTGGGTGGGCGATCGGAGGGGGTTGGTTGGGGGAGAAGGGCGGGGGGTCTACGCGCATCTACGGAATATCGGAGATCACGATGGATGGCACCGTTCGAATACGCTCAGCCGGAATTTGCTCGCGACTTTTGTCGCCGTTGTCGCCGTCAAGGCGGATGTCGCAGCGGTAAGTCGTCGTGGTCGTGGTCGTTGTTGTTGTTGTCGTCGTTGTTTGTCGTCGCTGTTTTGTGATGATGAGCGGCACGTAATCTTTTATAAATCCTCCAAAGGCACCGGCAGGTTTCCCGTCGCTGTCAATAACCCTGCAAAATAAACGGAGTGAAGGCGGTGAGTTATCGCTTGCGGAGTTTCGTGAGCCGGCTGGCGAAGGAGAGCTCCACGTTTTCACCCAGGTAACGGGAGAGCACACACTTAGATATTTATTGACGTTTCACTTTAACAAAACAATTTAATCGCATCGATTCTCATGTCGTCTGGAACATTGTTCCAGTATGGAACCAGGGCCACTGTTTAAGGCTCCGGTATAACCGCGTATGCATGGTACCGATTCATCGGTTCGTCGATTAAAATCGATTCTTACTTTCGCAACACGTGCGTCCAATTGTGTGCACATATATGTGTAAACATCGCCACTAGGGAGACAAAGGCGGCCGGGAGTGGTGTTGGCCACCCACCCCCTCGTGTGCCATGCCAATCTCCATAGGTGCTCGATAACAGCACTTGCCCCAACAATCTGGTAAGGCTACACGGGGGATCTTTGTTGTTGTTGTTGTTGTGTGAGATGTAACTTTAATAATTGGCCCAGATAAAATACAACAGCATTTGAATGAGTACATTTCGAATGGTAAAAACAAACAAAATATCCGGTTCCAATCTATTTGGTTGTTCCTGTGATATCATGCCACTCATTTTGAAAAAAAGAAAAGAAATTGGGTCCGGTGAGGTAATAAAATTATTAATTTTGGGTGAGATCGTCGTGTGGGTATTATATTATTATTATAGCCCTCCACCACCCGATTGAGACCAATCAAATGAAGTTGTCACGTCACGGACAGTGCCGGATTTTCCGAGTAGCACAAGTAGCTACATATGTGGTAGTAGCTACGGGCCCCGCACTTTCAAGGGCCCCGCGCTAAATGTTTTCAAGCTATCAATTCCGGTTCAGTGATTCTGCACTTGCTCTATTACTGTAGTACTATACCGCCTTCCACTTTTATGAACGTCTGGGTGTTTAAGGTTAGCGATTTGTCGTATTATCTGGCTGTATAGCAAATGAAATAATACAATTACTTTACTATGCAAGTAAATAATTAATGTTTAAAAATTTACGTTTTTAAAAAAATTTAGGGCCCCTTTATAACATATGCTATAGGCCCCACACTAGCTTAATCCGGCACTGGTCACGGACAAATATGGCGGACGTATTTGTTTGTTCAACAAAAGCGGATGTTGGAGAGCGAGCGAAACGCGTGGCAATGTTGCGCTACGTTTTGCCAGACATCACAACCATCAGGCGTAAACAAAAAGCTCAGCTCTCGAGTAACTGGCGGTTTGATATTTCGCATTTGACAAATGTGGAAAATTACGTGTCTATATACGTATTTTAACTTTTTTCGCACCGTACGTAGCCAATCGTGCTAATGGGGGGTGCGGCGGAAGGATATCAAACTAAAAACGAAAAAGCAGTTCTAATGAAATTAGGCTGTGAATGTACTTGATTTAAAAGAGCATAGCTGCAGTGAATTCCTAATATAGGACGGGAGAGCGTTCCAGACGGCCGCACGCAAATGGCCTACACGTCGGGGAATCTTTAACGTCCGCCGTGGAATAGACGGCGTCGACCTTACGGTCGCTACACACCAGCGAGTTTGTCATCCACGCACACCCTGACGGTATCACTGCAATCCCTACGGCATCTACTGCCGCCTTGCATTGCTGGAAGGACCTTAACATTCAACTGTGGCATCATCTAGAAGAAGAAGAAGCAATAACCGGGGTAGCCTGCCAGGTTCGAACCGCGAACGACTTTCCGCAACCAAGCAGTGGATGCGCTGAGACTGAGCCATGCCGCGGCCCCGCACCTCGGCGATGTGCTGCACGATGTCTCGCAAGGTGCCCGGCTCATAGTAATCCTCCAGTCCGGCGAAGTCCAGCTCGCCGGACGGCACCAGGGAGTCGCCTTGCTCCGATGGGCTCATCATCCTGAACGTCGGAATCATCATCAAACAGGATAATCAACATCATCACCACCCACATCATCAGCAGCAGCAGTATCATTCTCGGAATTACCAGGTCAATTGTGGCGCACAGGGGCAGCTGCTACTGGGGGTGCCCTTAGGCTAGACCACATGGCAATCATCACCCCCTACCGGCAGACTAACGCCCACCTGCAGGTCAGGTGCTGAGTCACGCTGTGACTCACAGTGACAGCTGCCACTTGGGGTTGCCCTTAGGCTAGACCACATGGCAATCATCGCCCCCTATCGGCAGACTAACGCCCACCTCCAGGTCAGGTGCTGAGTCACGCTGTGACTCACAGTGACAGCTGCCACTTGGGGTTGCCCTTAGGCGAGACCACATGGCAATCATCACCCCCTACCGGCAGACTAACGCCCACCTGCAGGTCAGGTGCTGAGTCACCTTGAGCCACGCAGAGACAGCTGCCACTGGGGGATGCCGTCGCATATTTATTTTAAAGCAGGGCGTTCTACCAAAACAAACTATCGTAATATTTTTTATTATGACCTACATAATTGTCATTGTGAGAGCTATGCGGCTCGGCCGCGACAATCTAAGCCAGTGTTTTTCATTGCAAGGCCCGCACGGGCCACTGGCGGCCCCTGGATGGCCTTATGTGCGCCCCCCCACCCCCTACAATACACAAATGTGAAAACACCCCCATCAACCTCATCATCATCATCATCACCATCATCGTGCTGCTGTCAAACCCCCAATGGTTTCAAATGGAGTGGCGGAGCCTCACACCCACTGATGACGAGAATTAGTGAAGAACACTGGCTGATGACGCAGTAGCCCTGGTCTCAGATGAAGGCCCGTGCCATGCGTGCCATCTCCCCTCCCCCCGTACGGACGTCACCTTCGCTTGGACAGAATGGACTTGGCGTACTTCTCCGCCGCTTGCTGCTTGCGCAGGCGGCTGAACAGGTCCGTGAACACCGCGTCCGAGTGGCGCTTGTAGACGGACGACGCCTGTGACTCCTCGAAGGGGGGCTCCTCTTCACTAAGGGGGGGAGGGATGGGGGAGGAAAGGGGGGGAAGGGGGGAAGGTGGGGGAGAGGAGACATGGGTAGTAGGGGTTAGGTGGGACACGTCTGCTTTTTATGGGAATTAAATAGACGCGGTGGCGAGATGTTAACTACCTCGCTGTTAAAATAAAATAAATAGTTTATCTTTAAATGCTCACTGGGACTCCTTTGAGAAGCGTGAGGGATATCGGAATGACTCTTAGGCTGCGCCTCCTCGACTTTCCCCACACGAGTCTTAATCTTCAACAATGAAAAAAGCTTTCAAGTAACTTAAAGGAGACTCGGTTTTAGATGGACATCTCATCAGCAAGGGACGGATCTGGAAACTTCTCAAGAGGGAGATGGCGGGGGGGGGGGGAGGGAGGGCTCCCCACATTTAAAACTATTTAAATTTCCCCCCTCTCCTCTTAACGTGAATTAAAAAGCACATGCAACGTCTCTTGTCTACAAATATGATGTTATTAACGTCACTGATTCGATCGAAAATGTAAAAACATAAATCTATACAATACACATTTTGACCTATCAAGGGAGGGCGAGAGGGTGGGGGTCAGAGTGCTCCCCCCCCTCCCCCCGGATCCGCCACCGACAATGAGTGACACCACGGAGTGAGTTCCACCATCATCGCAGGGGGACTCACTCGATCCGCTTGCCCTGTTGCAGCAGGGACTCGAAGTAGCGCCGGGCAGACATCTGTCCCAGCAGCTTCTTGTAGTTGTTGTGGAAGAGCGCATCGGCGTGTCGCTCCGGCCTGGACAGCAGGGAGGGGAGGGGGAGGGGGGAGGAGGGGATCGCGGGGGGTGGTGATGACACTGCCAGGCGTCACTCATCTCCGGCTCATCACTCGCTCGTCATCCTTAACCTCAGCGTCACGCATCTCCTCCATCCTCTACTGCCACGCTCCTCTTTGCCATGTCGCCGTGAGTTCCGGTTGTTTTGTGCAACCGACCAGAGTCGCGCTGCGCCTGCTGACTCTCCGAAGCCAGCCTCACGCGCGTCAAGTGCTGTCGCGTAAAATTGGCCAGGTAAAAAATAAACCCTGCTGAGCTTCTGAGAAGCGATGAGATTGGGTGCAGTCGTGGCACACGTGATCGTTGGAGAAAACGCACGCGCAGGCACTCACGTAAAATAAAACAAAAATAATTATGAAAGACTCAACACATTCATCATCAATTTTCCGCAAGGTTGAAATATTTTGGGCGACGTTTCGATGAATGGTCCTTCTTCATAGCAACACATGTGTAATGCAGAAGATGCTATGAAGAAGGGTCATTTCCCGAAACGTCGCCTATTATATATAATTTCCCTTTTATAAGACTGCGTTATTGACGGCCGTGTTGCGGTTTTTTTTGTTATTTGTGCTCATGCACCGCTGCCAACGCGGTGACACCAAAAATAAAAGCGTGAAAATTAAATTACCTCCAGGACAAGTACAGGGACGAGGCGACGATGCGCGCCCTCCGACCCAGAAATTAGGAGACAAAGGTTAGTGGATGACGCGGAGATGTTTGCGTTAATCTCCCAAAGCCCCGTGGGATTTTCTCCGGCCACTCCGATTTTCATCCCCGCGTGCACAAATAACGCTTACAATGGATCCAGCCGAACGTGAGGATGCGTGTTTTCATAGCGACCACTACGTTACTGGACGTCGCATGCAGTAGAACACATTGGTCGAATTTATTGACCGCGTAGTATAGACACACGGGTGGAGCCGTGGCTCAGTGGTTAGGGCACTACGCTATTAACCAGGCCACCTGAGTTCGATTCCCGAACACGGCTGATACCGTCAGCGGCGAGTGATATTTGAACCGGTCCTGGGCACACTGACCAGCCTGGTGCGGTAGGGACTACACATTAGGCGTGATAATTACAGTGACGTAAAATTGATGGTGACGGTGATAATTACATAATTGATTACGATTAATTGATTATTTGCAAACGATGCAGATCGATATTGGATCACGATGATGATCTATATAATCGGCATGATAATTATGATGATATCAAAATAGTACCGTTATTCATGATCATCATTTTAATTCTGACATTGCAATAAGCGAATTACTGGCATAGAATGTTCATTGCCCATCACATTCTACGGTGTCAAAACATCGAACGAGCGATAAAGACATTGTAAAAATTACATCATCACTTGCTCGGGAAAGCACGCGGCCCCATAAAACTGGCTGCACGTGTTAAATAACGATCATATAACACCTATATTTACCTAACAAATGACCCACTAAACCAACAAACACGTGCGATATATACAATGTTTTATGACTGCTGTGACCAGACCTCACAACCTTCCCACGTGTGCCTCACAAACAAAGACAAAGATCACCCGTATACACATGCAGACTACGGGCAAGTGTTGCTCGCGCACGAGAGGTTGGTGTGGTCAAAGCCACGCCCGGCCGCCTTTGTCTCCTCAGTGCTAATAATGTGCATACACCACACCAGCTACTCATATGAACGACAATTAGACCTAGGGGAGGCTCAAAACCGGTTCAAATATTCGCCACTTGCGCTTAATGATCGTGAGCGCAGTGCCCTGGCCGCTGCTCCACCGCTCCCCAGCTCCACACAGACGCGCCGCTCACCGCAGCGCGAAGTAATCCGTGTCGGTGGCCGGGAACGAGTCGCGACCCGGGCAGTGCAGAGTCAGGACCAAGCAGACGGCGGCGACTGTCGCTTGGAACGAGCGCATGGGGCTCATGGTTCCGATCCCTGTGTAAAGGAAGGATACGCGTTAGGAAGACCAGAGTGAGGAGCAACAATGTCTGCACAGAGACTCCCCTGCGCAAATTTTAATAGACTGTCCGGGACGAGTGGCTGTTAGCGAGCACCTATGAAGGCCGCCGTTGTCATCTTCACTGCTGATGTTTAATACACGTCGCACAAGGTACACATTTGAGGCTGAGTCGACCTACGGGAGGCGCAGGACTGGGTTGAGCTTGAGTCATTCCAGCACACACACACCAGCACACACTCACATAATACAGAAACGTACACTACAACGGACACAAATACCCATTTAACATTACAGACTGTTGTGGCAAGTGCTGTTAGCGAGTGCCTATTAAGACCGAAACGGCATACGAGGGGGTGAGTGGCCAGCACTACGCCCGGCAGCCTTTGTTTTCCCCAATGCTGATGTTTACACACCGCATCATGTACAGTACTAATTTGGCGCTGAGTCGATCTAGGAGAGGCCCACGACTGGTTCAGATAATCGTCAATGTTATTGGTCGCTATCGAGAAACGAACGCTGGTCGTCGGGTTCGTAGCGCAGCTCGCTAAGCACTGCGCCACCGCTCACTGAAAGAGAGAGAGAGCTCACGCCATCAAAATGACGAATATATCGCAATAAAATAGGCGTCAAAATGTTCAAACACCGAATTAGATACACCTATTTCACGCCATCAAGTCTGCAATGATCACAAGTCTTTTTTTTCCTTCGTGATTTTAATACTCGCAAAAATTGGTCACAAGGACTCCGTCAAATCTCTGCCAAACCACGCGACTTCTGACCGCTCCGACTCTCGACACCAACCTCAACTCACCGTTTGCCCCCGAAGCGCCGGAGCCGAATGTTGAAGAGCAGGGCTCAGTCAACGATCTTCACACCACGCAGCCCTGTTGGTTTAGAGTAAGCCACTCAACTCGATGTCAAATCGCCCCGCACTGACAAGAATGTAAATAATTAGCGCAGCAGCTTTATCTCGCACGCCACTTAGACGGCAGTCTAGGTTAACCTACCTGTAGCGCTTACACGTCGCCCCAGCGGTGAGGCTGTATTCGAATAAAGTTGTAATGCTTTTTTTTACTATCCTAGTTCTGTAGCTCGTGCCGGTTAATAAGCCACGTGCAGTCGAAGCCCCGAAGCTCGCACGCTCCTCTCGAACAGAGTGGTGGGGCACAGAGTAGGGAGCGGCGCTGTCCAAGGGCCTGAAAAGGTCTCTCACATATATACACACACAGGTTCATATATATACGCACGCACACACCGAGAAGATGGTTAGGGGTTAGGGGCGTGTACACTTGTATTTTTTTTACTTCCCTCCGCAATCGTCACCCACACGCAGTGGACGTCAGTCACTTTTCCACACATTCATTACAGACTAACGTCAGTGTTTGTCTGTGTGTGTGCTCGTGTGTGTGTGTGAATGCGTGGGTGTGCTTGGGTATGCGAGAAAGCGGTTGCACAGTGGTTAGCGCGCGGCGCTACGAATCTGGCGACCCGAGTTCGATTCACGCTCACGGCCAAGAACAGTGACAACTATTTTAAACGATACTGGGAATCCCCCTGGGCAGATTCAGCATCAAATGAGTACCTGGTGCGGTGGCTAAACATCAGCACTGGGAAGACAAAGTCGACCGGGCGCGATGTTGCATGCCGTGTCCGACATTCATAGGTGCTGCTCGCTAACAGCACTTGCCACAACAGTCTGCCTCAGGGGGGGGATCTTTGTGTATGTGTGGGGAAAGCGGTTGCGCAATGGCAAGCGCACTGCGCTACAAACCCGGTGACACGAGATGTGTCGGACCTCTCCGACGTCGTCGACTCAGCCTTAAAATGAGCGCCTGGTGCGGTGCTTAAACATTGACGCTGGGGAGGCGACGGCGGACGGGCGTGGTGAAGGGCACACCGCCTCGTCTTGCGCCCTGACGTGTCGGCCTTCTCAGGTGCTCGCTCATAGCAATTCCCTCCTTATAGTCTTGGTACATATGTATGTGTGTTGAACTTCTTTCGCACCGTACGCAGCCGTCCGTACGAGTCGGAGGTGCGGGGAAGGACAACAAATTATACACACACACAAAACAGTTCAAAAGAATTTAGTTTTCAATCTAGATTCAAGGCTATTGGGGGGGGGGGGGGGACTTTGGACATGATTGTGTGTACTTTACCTATACTTTTTATTTAAAGTTTTCGTGACTGCAGTGATTTATGTTATTGGTTCTTTCGGTAAAGTCACGTTGAAGGGAAACAATAAAATATATATAAAACAATACAATTCTCACGACGTTTCGACTGCAAACTGATGATGACTGCGTGTGTTGCAGTCGAAAGGTCGCGATAATTTAATTGTTTTATATATATTTTATTATTATTTTATTGTTTACCTTCAACGTGACTAAGAACCAAGAATATTACCTATACTTGTGTACTTGCATACGTGCGTTTGAATGTTTGCTAATACTTCTTGTGACTGGGTCATCAATGTCCTCGCCTCCCCGTGTAGCCCCGTCATCACAAGCATCTCCACCTCTTCCACCGAGAAGAATCTCAAGGGAGTAAATTTAATAATGATGAACAAAATAACGATCTACTGCTGGATGGAGACCTCCTCGCGGTTTATCGGTCGTAGCGGTTGTTCGATCATACTTCACCACACTGGTGTGTGTGTGTGTTTGTTGTGGCCGTGAGCGGATATCAAACTCGGCTTTCACGGGGTTGAGCAACGCAGCGCGCTAACCACTGCGCCTCCGTTCCACCCACGCGTCCCATATAACTTCGCTCTGGTGATCAAAGGACTCAAGAAGGCGTCAGGAAGCGCTGTGACAGCTGAAAGCGCAATAACATACCCCGCTCCGCAAACTCAGATAATGAAGCATTTTTATTACGAACTCGGACAATAACGCGGTAGCTAAGAGGCTAAAGCAGCTCGCAAAGCCGGCACGCAGGCTACCGCGCGCCGCGTCTTAATGGAATTGCGGTTAATGCGTTCGAGGAAGCGTGCGCGTTATGGGTTAAGACGCGCGCGCGTTTGCGTATGTGTGTGTGTGGCTCATTGAGAGGGGAAGCTCAGGGCTGAGTCAACATGCACCCCATCCTCTCCTCTCCTCTTTCTCTCTCTGTTGAAGTGATCTGTCACGTCCATTTCATAGCCGGCGGTGCATTTATTACAGGAGACACACGGAGGGCATCTTTATGGCGAGGGTGAAGCCATTGGCACTGATGCGCACGATTAGCCCCGCGCGCGCCTGCCACACCTGTCTCGCAGCAGGAGGCCCACCAGCGGTGGGCATTCGCGTATGTCGGATGGATGCAACAAGAGGGTTGACACGGCTACGTTTGCGTATGTGAGGTGGGTACAGCAAGTAGGTTGGCACAGCTGTATCTGCGTGTGTGAGGTGGGTACAGCAAGTAGGTTAGCACAGCTGTATCTGCGTGTGAGAGGTGGGTACAGCAAGGAAGTTGGCACAGCTGTATCTGCGTGTGTGAGGTGGGTACAGCAAGTAGGTTGGCACAGCTGTATCTGCGTGTGTGAGGTGGGTGCAGCAAGTAGGTTGGCACAGCAGTATCTGCGTGTGTGAGGTGGGTACAGCAAGGAGGTTGGCACAGCTGTATCTGCGTGTGTGAGGTGGGTACAGCAAGTAGGTTGGCACAGCTGTATCTGCGTGTGTGAGGTAGGTACAGCAAGTAGGTTGGCACAGCATATCTGTGTGTGAGGTGGGTACAGTAAGTAGGCTGGCACAGCTGTATCTGTGTGTGTGAGGTGGGTACAGCAAGTAGGTTGGCACAGCTGTATCTGCGTGTGTAAGGTGGGGACAGCAAGTAGGTTGGCACAGCTGTATCTGTGTGTGAGGTGGGTACAGCAAGTAGGTTGGCACAGCTGTATCTGCGTGTGTGAGGTAGGTACAGCTAGTAGGTTGGCACAGCTGTATCTGCGTGTGTGAGGTAGGAACAGCAAGTAGGTTTGCACAGCTGTATCTGCGTGTGTGAGGTGGGTACAGCAAGTAGGTTGGCACAGCTGTATCTGCGTGTGTAAGGAAGGAAAAGCAACTAGGTTGGCACAGCTGTATCTCTGTGTGTGAGGTGGGTACAGCAAGTAGGTTGGCACAGCTGTATCTGTGTGTGAGGAAGGAAAAGCAAGTAGGTTGGCACAGCTGAATCTGCGTGTGTGAGGTGGGTACAGCAAGTAGGTTGGCACAGCTGTATCTGTGTGTGTAAGGTGGGTACAGCAAGTAGGTTGGCACAGCTGTATCTGCGTGTGTGAGGTGGGTACAGCAAGTAGGTTGGCACAGCTGTATCTGCGTGTGTAAGGTGGGTACAGCAAGTAGGTTGGCACAGCTGTATCTGTGTGTGTGAGGTGGGTACAGCAAGTAGATTGGCACAGCTGTATCTGCGTGTGTAAGGTGGGTACAGCAAGTAGGTTGGCACAGCTGTATCTGTGTGTGTAAGGTGGGTACAGCAGTAGGTTGGCACAGCTGTATCTGCGTGTGTGAGGTGGGTACAGCAAGTAGGGTGGCACAGCTGTATCTGTGTGTGAGGTGGGTACAGCAAGTAGGTTGGCACAGCTGTATCTGCGTGTGTGAGGTGGGTACAGCAAGGAGGATGGCACAGCTGTATCTGCGTGTGTGAGGTAGGTACAGCAAGTAGGTTGGCACAGCTGTATCTGTGTGTGAGGTGGGTACAGCAAGTAGGTTGGCACAGCTGAATCTGCGTGTGTGAGGTGGGTACAGCAAGTAGGTTGGCACAGCTGCATCTGTGTGTGAGGTAGATACAGCAAGTAGGTTGGCACAGCTGTATCTGTGTGTGAGGTAGGTACAGCAACTAGGTTGGCACAGCTGTATCTGTGTGTGTTAAGTGGGTACAGCAAGTAGGTTGGCACAGCTGTATCTGCGTGTGTGAGGTGGGTACAGCAAGTAGGTTAGCACAGCTGTATCTGCGTGTGTGAGGTGGGTACAGCAAGTAGGTTAGCACAGCTGTATCTGGGTGTGAGAGGTGGGTAGAGCAAGTAGGTTGGCACAGCTGTATCTGGGTGTGTGAGGTGGGTACAGCAAGTAGGTTGGCACAGCTATATCTCTGTGTGTGAGGTGGGTACAGCAAGTAGGTTGGCACAGCTATATGTGCGTGTCTAAGGTAGGTACAACAAGTAGGTTGGCACAGCTGTATGTGTGTGTGAGGTGGGTACAGCAAGTAGGTTGGCACAGCTGTATCTCTGTGTATGAGGTGGGTACAGTAAGTAGGTTGGCACAGCTGTATCTGCGTGTGTGATGTGGGTACAGCAAGTAGGTTTGCACAGCTGTATCTGCGTGTGTGACATGGGTACAGCAAGTAGGTTGGCACAGCTGTATCTGCGTGTGTGAGGTGGGTACAGCAAGTAGGTTGGCGCAGCTGTATCTGCGTGTGTGAAGTGGGTACAGCAAGTAGGTTGGCACAGCTGTATCTGCGTGTGTGAGGTGGGTACAGCAAGTAGGTTAGCACAGCTGTATCTGCGTGTGAGAGGTGGGTAGAGCAAGTAGGTTGGCACAGCTGTATCTGGGTGTGTGAGGTAGGTACAGCAAGTAGGTTGGCACAGCTATATCTCTGTGTGTGAGGTGGGTACAGCAAGTAGGTTGGCACAGCTATATCTGCGTGTCTAAGGTAGGTACAACAAGTAGGTTGGCACAGCTGTATGTGTGTGTGAGGTGGGTACAGCAAGTAGGTTGGCACAGTTGTATCTCTGTGTATGAGGTGGGTACAGTAAGTAGGTTGGCACAGCTGTATCTGCGTGTGTGATGTGGGTACAGCAAGTAGGTTTGCACAGCTGTATCTGCGTGTGTGACATGGGTACAGCAAGTAGGTTGGCACAGCTGTATCTGCGTGTGTGAGGTGGGTACAGCAAGTAGGTTGGCGCAGCTGTATCTGCGTGTGTGAAGTGGGTACAGCAAGTAGGTTGGCACAGCTGTATCTGTGTGTTTGAGGTGGGTACAGCAAGTAGGTTGGCACAGCTGTATCTGTGTGTGAGGTGGGTACAGCAAGTAGGTTGGCACAGCTGAATCTGCGTGTGTGAGGTGGGTACAGCAAGTAGGTTGGCACAGCTGCATCTGTGTGTGAGGTAGATACAGCAAGTAGGTTGGCACAGCTGTATCTGTGTGTGAGGTAAGTACAGCAACTAGGTTGGCACAGCTGTATCTGTGTGTGTTAAGTGGGTACAGCAAGTAGGTTGGCACAGCTGTATCTGCGTGTGTGAGGTGGGTACAGCAAGTAGGTTAGCACAGCTGTATCTGCGTGTGTG